AGAGAGAGAGAGAGAGAGAGAGAGAGAGAGAGAGAGAGAGAGAGAGAGAGAAATCCCCATGAATTTAAATAAAGAAGAAAAAGGCAGAGTCACTTACCTTGAACCTCTAACCCTCTTAATTTTAATCCTTCTTTAAGTGGAGAAACCAAGGCCTAGGCAGATTATCTAAATTTCTCCAAAGTCACAAAACAACAACTGCTAATGATTTTACTTGCTTTCACAGGGTAGGAATCTTCTAGAAGTTCTTCCTATATACTGGCAACCTTAAGAAATGGAAATAATCACCTTAAGAGAAGATACTGTTATTTTCAACGCTGAGGCAAAGAAAAGCTAAATTAAATTACGTGCTTGAGGGCATAGGGTCCAAAGTGGCAGAGCCAGGGATTTGAACACAGGCAGTAACTCAAGGTCCGTGCTTTTAAGCACATGCATATTTTATCAACAAGATGTGTCAAAGGCAAGCTGGGTCTAGAACTCAGAGCTTCTCATATTCTTTTAACTGTCTTTTCCATAACACCAAAGTTATTTAAAAACAAGTCCAATTGTATGTGTTAAAATAAACATGGCAACTGAAAATACAGAAGGAGCTGCTCAGAGAACCCAGTTTGGGAGGTATCATTTTCTCTTATATCGCTCTTCAGGGCAGCTCTCCCATCTCTATCTCAGCCTCCAGGAGAAACTTAAGCGACTGGCTTTAATTAGCAGGTAGGACTCACTTATAATCAATGAATCACATGTTCCAAAAGTAATGGGTGATTATTAAGTAGTTTTAAGATTCATAAAAAGCCTTTTCCCAGAAATTAGCTAAACTCTTCTAGGAATAATCTTCATATCTTATTTGTAAATGACTTCCATTTGTTTTCTTTCCTAGGTTTCTCTTGTGCTATATTTGGTCATTTCCAGCCCCTCTCATAAGTAGCCTAGAATCTTTCAGCCTTGGTCAGTATGGCCTTATCACTGAGTTACCCACCTCTTGGGAGAACTTCCAGTGTTGGTTTGGCCTGGTTGTATAACCAATGCAAATTTCCACCAAGCACTAAACTATTATAGAGTGCTTCTGTTGATTTGATATCTAAACCCATCGCCTTTGGGGTTCATCTTTGGCTAATAGTCCTCTAAAAGGAGCAAATTCTTTGGCTACAGCTGTAGCAGCTCATTGATTTTCAACTTGAATTTTGCTTACTTAACTGATGGCTTCTGTTATCAGTCGGATCCAGGAGCAAAACAAAATGGTATTTGTTGAGTCCATTGTGTTGAGAGCTGAATTTTTGATAAACTAGATCAAGGCAGGGGTATGAAATAACTGCACATCTCTGAAATGTCGCTCAGGCCTTATGCTGACTTGTCTTCCCCAAAGCTGCAGCCTCATTGCCTAACAGTGGAGCAATGGATGAGGCATGAAAACTGTTAATGCACTGGCCCACTGATATTTCATTAAGGATGATCCGAGGGCAGTTGGAGGTGAGCAACCAGCTAACTTTTCTCTCTCTTCTTAGGCACTGGTGAGAAAAATTGATGCCTCGGACAACATCTATACCACGGAGTCCACCACAGGGAACCTGTTCAGCCTGACCCAGGAAGGTGCTCCTTTGTGCCGCATCATAGCCAAGGTGAACTCATGGTTAGGGGACAGAATGGCAGGCCTGGGGAAAGTAAGAGGAAGCTTGTTCATTTGGTGGGTGTGAATGGCTGACTCAGGAGGCCCATCTTGGCTCTAGCACTAGCTTGCTTACTGGGTGACCTTATTAGAGTCACCTCTTCTGTATGGGCATTGGTGTTTCTATCTTTAACAGGTTAGAGACCCCCTGTGATTTTATACTTGAGATAAAAAGCTGGTATCCCTAGAACCTCTGTCACCTTGCTTTATGCAGTATTTGTTATAAACAACCCTCCTTCCCCATCTGCACATATTGTTTCCTTTTGACAGCTGTGGTGTCCCTGATGTCTACAGGAGGATGTAGTGAAGACAAAGCCCATCTGGCATGTAGCAGTTTAAAACATTGATTGACTTTATATGGTATCCTGGTATCATAAATATAAGAAATGTGGTGACTCACAGTTTAAAGAAAGTTGTTTTCATATAGTTTTATCTGTTGGTTGAGCCCCATCTATTAATCCTGTCTCCATAATGATCTCTATCTCATAATCATTAGCATCAGTGTTATCAAGAGGAATAGGTCTACAAACATGACCTTCGCATCAAATTCAGAGGAATGTGTCCTCAAGGGTTCCATCTGAGGACTTCTCAGGCTCCCTTACTCAGCTTCCTGACTGGATTTCAAAAATACATGTAGCTAATCCAATACTACGTGAGAGGAAGATGAAATAAAGAAAGACAGTGGTTTTCCTCAACAGTAGGAGTTTTAATTCATTAGCTTCATGGTTAATTTGCCATTCATTATGGCCTCCAAAAATTTAGAGCATATATAGGCAGCTGGTAGCCTTGGATCAAAGTAAGGTCTTCTGTTTCATTCTTCTGTTTTCACTTTGAGAAATGGCATCACCACTAGAACCAATGATCTAACTGGAATCCAATTAGGTGCTTAAATATACTTATGACACCAATCACAAAAAATATTCTAGCTTTGTGGTTCTTGGTCTTCCTACTGCTTTACAATCCTTCAGAAAGTTTGTGGAAAACATAGATACTTTTGCTTCATCCAAGATTTACTGAAGTCCTGGGGTAAGATTTAGGATTTTGCATTTTAACAAGCTCTAAAGATAATTTTGAAGAGTGGCCAAGCCCTTAGAGTCACTGATCTAAACCCTTAATGAAATTTGGAAGAATAGGGTAAATGCTTGTCACCTCTGGTCAGGGTAGAAGTAAATTTTACACAACAGCAGTAGGTCACATTAGGGTGTTGTGCACCGTGCGTAATGCTTTGCATGCATGATTTCCTTTAAGCCACAGAAGTGTCCTATGAAGTAGGTATCATGTTATCCTAATCTGTAGTTGAGGTCATGGTCTGAGGGACTTGTCCAGGCCATACAGCTGATAAGAGGTGAAATCAGAATTAAAACTCAGGTCTCTTTAGTTCAGAGTTCATGGTCCAGAGCCCATAGCGGTGATTTCTGGATCAGTTCATTGTCCTTCAGATTCTTGAGGCAAAGTGTGACTCAGATATTTTTAATCTTAAACCTTGGAGGCCCATTAGAACCATGAGGGAGATTTAGTGATTTCTAATTTGATCTAGTTGATCTGGAGTAGTGCCTGGGGTAGATATTTTCACTTCCTAGGTGATTTCCGATCCCCTATTGCTTGGGTCGAGGACCACGACATCTGTTGTGGGTCTTTAGTGGAGATTTAACTTGAAAAACTTGTGGTGGTATTAGGGTATTGGGTAATATGGAGCTGTCCCTTCCAGGGATTCTGTGACCCAGCCATTCAGCTTGCTTGGAAGTGTTCACTCTACAAAGGTCTGTATGGTGCTGTGGAGGAGCAGAGAACTGCTGTAACCTCTCAGCACCAGGTTAATGGTTAATTTCCCAAAGAAGTTAGCTCAGTGGCTTTTAGAACAATGATCAGTTTTCCCTTTCAGAATAAAGGGCAAACTCGGGCTGGGTTGGAGCTCCAGGTATAGATCTGAAGCCTAGAGGCAGTGAGACCTAGTCTGCATGGCAGTGTGGATCCTAAATGTGTTTTGTGTTTTAGAAAATAAACAGGCCTAGTGTTACCTAGGAAGGAGACTTTGCTGGGCACAGGCTCTGAAGCTCTCGGTGCCCTGCTCTAGGCCTGGGCACACTGCCTCATCTCCACGTGCTGCATGATGTAGACATTTCCTGTCACCAGCCTGTACTTGTGTACATCATTCAGAAAAGCAGAGCGGGGACATGCATTTGGGTTTGAAGCGAAGATGATGTTTGCCTCCTGAAGAGTTAGTTTCCTCTGAGGGCTACTCTAGTAAGGATTGATCTCAAGTGTTTTCTGAGGTGGGAAACAAGAGAGAAAGGCCTGGGTAGAGACCAGAGGCAGCTCTCATCCCAGGGAGGCCATTAGCTCACCGTGGGAGGTTGGCCAGGCCACTGGGACATTACCTCCAATTTAGTGATCAAAGAAGCTGAACTGCATGACATTAAAGAGACTCCCCCAGTGTACCAAACTGTCTGACTTCTTGGTGTTTCTACAGAATAAGTAAGGATGCAATTTTAGTTTTGTCCTACTGCATTTTTAAACAGAAGGCTAAGGGGAACTCTATTTTCCATTAGTAGTCATCCCTTCCTTAATTTCTCTTTAAAGGCTCCTTCCCTATTGCAGCCCCTCTTCAGTTACCCAGACATCCCCTGTGCTCTCAAAACCAGCCCTGGAGCTTCAAGAACCATGATTTCTAATGATCTTGAGGTTACCTGGATCATACCCAACCAGAGCTGGCCCAAGGGAATACATGAGTCTCACTGAATGTTATCGGCCATAACACAACAAGAATGGCTAAATGTTGGTTACTGCCCATGTGCCGGGCCCTGTCCTGGCACTTCCGCAGTTACCATATCTTGTTCACACGTACTGCTCTGAGATCAGTATCCGTGACTCTGTTTCACAGATAAGGACTCCAGGACTCACAGTGGCCGAATACCTTGGACGGCCGACAAGTGAAACCAGATTTGTCCTGCGCTGGGGTCAAGGCTGTTTTCACTTACCAGCTCAGCTGGCTGAAACCTAGTTGTACCCAGTCCGGCCAAAGCCTTGTCTCTTTATTACTCAGTATTTCCTGCTTCTTTGCTCCCGGTGCACCAAGTGTGAGGCTGGTCAAGGCCAGGACTGGGAGGGAGGCAAGAGTTGGGGAGCAGTGGGGGAAATCTGAGACTTTCCAAGGTGGAAGAGGCCAATGTGATTAATGACCATAGTGATGATAGCTGAAGTAGCAGCTGTAGTAAAAAAATGAATAAATATGTTCATAACACATACTATGTACCAGATGGTGTTGTAAGTGCTGTTTATATAAAAGCTTATTTAAGCCTGGAGATAATCCTGGGTGGTGGATAGCATCTACCCCTATTGTACAGGTGGTGGAGCGGAGAAAGTAAGGTCACACCCAGAGAAGGTCACACAGCTACTAAGTGACAGAATTTGAATCTGGCTGTTTAACCTTCAAGGCTGTGCTCTTGCTTACTATTCTGAACTGCATCTCAGCCGCAACTCCTCCTCCGCCCCCTCCTCCTCACCTTCTTTCCCACCCTCTTCTCTTTGTCCCCTTCCCACGTACTTTCCATGTCTTCCATTATTTACTCCGGCACTGTGCTGAGCTTTCCGCTTAGTATCTCACCCATGCTCCAACAGTCTTTTGAGTCAATTCAAGTCAAGTCAATTCGCTTCTCTAAGGTAAGGAGACAGAAGTTCAGGAAGAACGTAAATAACTTGCACAAGGCCACACCTTTTAATGCAGAAGTGGGATTTTAACCAGGTCTGTTGATGCCAAATCTTCAGCCGCATGTTCTTGTGTCTCTGTGATCCTTAGGATAGAGTAGACAGAGCCTGACGCAGAGAGAAGATTCAGCGATGCCTCCCATCCTTCCAGCCTGGAACACGGAAGGGCGGGTGTCTCCAGCAGAACCACTCTGTGTGCGTGTTCAGGCTTCCCAGAGACACAGAAACTGGGAGTCCCTGGGATACTCTGTACAGCACCCTCACCCCAGATGCTCAGTACCTGTATCCAACATTGTGACAGGTCTGGGCTGTTCTTCCCAGCTGCCTACCTCACTGACCTCTCTGGAGCGACTGTGATCTTTCTTTGGGTCATTCATCTATCTGAGCTGCCTCTAGCATAGAACTTGGGCAGCCTGTCTGAGGTCTGTTCCCTTAGTCTCTTGGGATTCACTAAGGCCAAAGTTAAGCCCAGTCTTCCCCATCATGATGGTGGCAGACCCTATCCCCTGCCCAAGGTTGGCGTAGGCAATTCCCCTGTGCTTTGTCAAATCTACCCCCCCAGCTCCTCTACTATTCCTTCCACCCCCGGCCACACAGCCCATAAGTGCCCCTGCCAGCTTTATGACAGCTCATTCTGAGCCTGTCTGAATAATTCATGCCGTTCTATAGCTGGGCTCTGAGCCCAGAGCTTTCTATAAAATTAAACAAGCTCCAGCCAACAGTGTGATCTGCTAGCTCAGGAGATTGCAATATTACTGTGGGATGAGTGCTGCCCTCGGATCCTGAATGGGGGCTCTAGTGTGGATCATGAAATAATCCATCTGAATTCCTCTGTGGTCCCTTCCTTCTCTCCCCTTTCTCCTTCCCCAGGCCTCGGCAGAGCTTGCATGAGGGTCTGAGACAGCTTTTAATCAGGAAACCCTGCCACAGCCTGACTCTCACGCCCCTGTCCAGAACCTGGTCCTGAGCCCTTTAGCATCCGTTAACTCAATTGCTCCCCCTACTGCTCAGCTATGTAACCGTCGCTGTCCTCATTTTTATCCAGAGCTAATCAGCCGCAGAGCAAGCATTTGGACAAGAACCCTTTTAGTCCGAGTTCAAAAGTTTCCTCTTTCCTCTCCCAGTAGCTAAAAATGCTAAGAAGGACATTTTTTACAGTCTAGGGAGAGGATTTAATGAGGATCTAATGCAAGTACATCCAGAGTCTTAAAGATAGTTCTGCTGGTCTCAGTCCCTCTTGAGCCAAAAAGGAGGCTGCCACGTTCTCCTGCCTTCTGGCCTCAACCTCCTTGGCACCATTTCTTTACTGTCTGCTCCAAATGCAAATGTCTATCAATCATCTATGTATTGAAATAGTATTTATACAACTTAGATGATTAAATATAAATATGCATGTATATAAATACACTGTATATACATTGATAGGTATCTTTAAATTTGGGGAGGCTATTAGTGACCAGCAGACTTGCTGGGGAGAGTTTAGGACTCTTGTTTCTTTTGTTGTCATTTTAAAGAGTAACTTGATTTTGCTTCCCTGATCCTCTGAGGCTGGTCTTTATGTGCAACCCTCGTTAGATAGCCCATGAAAAAGTAGGAGGATAGGGGTAAAGAATTAAGAAACAATAAATCAGAGAGGTAGGTATCGAGACTCATGCCAGGCATATTTTATTGGCGTAAAGATGCACTTGTAAACAGAGTGATTCTGCCTTGCCCCTTCTACAAACTCTTCCCAGGGTGTAATGGGCTCTGTTCTATGATTCTTTAACTCTCCACCCCACTCTCATTTCATCACTCCCCTACCCAGATTTGTGTCTGAGTCTAGAAATGCCTGCCTTCCCTGCTGGACCGTGAGTTCAGGGTGGATGGGGGATAGAGCATTCTTGCTGAGTACCCAGCACCATGTTTGGGATATAATAGACTGTTACTATTTTAAAGTGCATGAATAAATTTATCAGCCCTAAGGTTTGCTTTCTTTTCCCTTACCAAATGACTACCCAGTAAAGCAAGGCTATAAAAATTTGTGCTCAAACTTAGCTTATTATAAAATGTTAGAAATTCTGAACTCCCCCAAAGTTGGACATGTTCATTTTAGTCCCTGCAAAACTCTTAGTGAAAAGGCACGAGGAGTCTGCCTTCTTGGAGCAGAGGGAAAGGAAGATCTGGGGCTGAGTTACTTCAGGGCACCTGTGTTGGCCTGTCGTGACACTGCTTTCTCTGCCAGCTGCTCCTTCTTTATTCGTTCGGTCATTCACTGCTGCATCTCCAGCTCATGAAACAGCCTGGCACATTGTTGGTGCTAGATATGTTTTTGGTGGACAGAGTTCTGAAAAACCTGATAGAGAATAGTATTTTGCTGAACTCACCCTTTTCCTGTACCATTTTGCTCCACTTTGGGAAGAGGTGCAATGTGCTCAACTGGACCCAGGAGTAATGCGGTGAAAGGCAAGTGTCCTGAGGGCTGAGAACGCTTGCTTCAGTTCTGCCACCTCTAGGTCCTTCCACCTTTCATGGAAAGTGGAGAGGGAGGGATGGAGGCAAAGCCAGATGCTGGTTATCTAGCATCTGCTCTGGTGTGCAAGGAATGTTGACATTGCTTTGCTGGGAGTTGTGAATCCCTGTGTGACCTGGTGATGCTCTTATTTTGCACCCAAAGCAAAATGAACTCCAGGGATCATTACAGAATGAGTATGATCACTTGGCAGGACCACCCGAGGATGATCTCCCCAATCTTAGATTCCTGTCTGGAGGGGCGCACTCTACTGGTCAGTCTCAAGAAGACTAGGGAAAGAAGCTTCCATAAATAGCTCCTTCCAAAGTAAAGGATATGCTTGCCCTTCAGAGCTGGGTGATTGTCCCCCCAAAGAAATTTTTTAAACAAACAGAGTAAAAGAGTGAAAACTGAGATGATGCGGATTTAGGATGAATTACTCTACCCATCTGGGTTCAGTTTTTTCCATTATGGAGTGAGAATATGCAAGTAAAACCTTAGTTTGTGAGAATAATTCATTCCTCCCATAATTCAAAGCACTTGTGTATCAAAGCAGAGTGAGAGTGAGGAGAGCAAAGGAGAAGAGAGGAGAGGAGAACAGAAGAGGAAGAGACAGATAACCAGTTGTGACATTTGGCATGATCTACTATTTGTATTGCAAGACACCGCTCATTTATCATGTTAAAATTTTTTAGAAGTCTTTGCACATCTTTTATGAGCAAAACCCCAGTTGTACAAGAAATGTTACAAAGAATCAGCAAATGGGATCACATCAAATTAAAAAGCTTTTGAATAGTAAAAGCAATCACCAACAGAGTTGAGACAACCCACAGAATGGGAAAACATTTTTTGCCAGCTATTCCTCAGACAGAGGACTAATATCTATCATATATAAAGAACTAAAAAAAATTAGACACTCTCAATTTAAAGACCCAACCTAAAAATGGGCATCTGAAATGAACAGACACTTCTCAGATGAGGAAATCCAAAGAGCAAATAAATATATGATAAAATGTTCAGCATCACTGGTCCTTGGTGAAATGTAATTTAAAGCAACACCAAGACTCTGCCTCACTCCAGAAAGAATGGCTATCATCAAGAAATCAACCAATAACAAATGCTAGCAAGGCTGAGGGAAAAAAGGACCCTTTTCCATTGTTTTTATGCGAGTTTAAATTGGTGCAACTACTATGGAAATCAGTACGGAGAAGAACAGGGGAAGGGAAGGAAGAGTAAAGAGAGAGAGTGGAAGGACAAAATAGAAGCAGAGCTTTTCTAGATGGGGAAAGGAAGAAGGGTTTTAGGCAGGGGAGGAGAATGGGAAAAAAGAGTGAAAATGTATTACGCATAGGTACAATTTCCCATGATGAATATGATTATTATGTATAGGAAACATGTACTAATAAAAATTAAAGGTAAAGACAACAGTAAAAAATGTTTGCTTGTCTTGTGGAATACTTGTGGACCACGTTACTCACAATCCAAGGCTTGACTATGTTATAGTAGTGATGTAATGAAGCTCCTTTTATGCCTGCCCCAAGAGGCAGTTGGAGGTTGCTAGCAGAGCCTGGGCTTCTGGTCTTCTCTGCCCTCCACCTGCCTCTGGCCTGTTTCTAGGATGATTCTGATGGCTCCAGGCTGCTCCACCAGGGCTGCCGAGTGCGTGTTGCCAGGTATCTGGCAGCTGTGGTGGAGGGTGTTGGTCCTCAGCTTTTAAAGAATATCTGCCCCAGCCACTGGCCCCCAACTCCCAGCGGCTTTTGGGGAATCCCATCTAAACTTGGACTATCTGGAGCCTGCATTTCACAGTGTGTGTGTGTGTGTGTGTGTGTGTGTTGGGGGAGACCCAGAGGCATATTTAGTAAGTAGGGATATCAGTGATTCAGTTATTCCTGAGTCAGCCCCAGGAAAGGTCACCTGGTGAGGTCCTGTGCTCAGTCACATTTTCTTCTTCTTGGCAGGAGGGTGGGGTCGTGGCACTCTTCAAGGTCTGCCGGCAGGACAGTTTCCGGTGCTTGTACCCCCAGGCACTCCGCACCCTGGCCTCCATCTGCTGCGTGGAGGAGGGTGTGCACCAGCTGGAGAAGGTAAGGGCGCTGGCTGGGCGGGCCTGGATCCCTGACCCAGCTGGGGTGGGGCCAGGTCTGGTGGTCATCTGGGCCTCTTTGTGGAGTAAGTCCCCTCAGACCCTTCCCCTCTCAGGTGCCATTCGGATGGGGCTGCTGGGAACATTGATGGTGACATTTAAGGCAGAGGTGAAAGGAGAGGGATTAAGAAGCCTTGTCCTGAGTTTTGGGGTCTAAAGGGGCACTCAGCACTTCCTAAGTTCATGGCATAGGGCCATGGGACACAGGAAGGGGCAGGCAAGCTAGATGGGGAGTGGTAGCAAAAGATTCGAGTGCTTGGTCCTTCATTTATAATAGGGCTCTGTAGAGAAGAGAACTTCAGTCCTTGGGGGATCGAAGGGGCAAAAGCTGGGGAGGGAGTGTAGCTTGGGGAGGGAGGCTTGGTACCTAGGCAAGCAAGTGGGTTCTCTCAACTAAGGCTTGGGTAGAGGAGAGGTAGAGAAGGAATGAGAGGTCCCCAGTGCTTCTGCTGCAGCCCATCCTGTGATTGTTTGACTAATTATAGCTGCTCCCTACCACTTCCCAGATGGTGAAGCTGAGGCTGCTCCTACCTGCAGATCCGAGTGGGTCTGAGCCTGCAGGTGGGCCCCAGGGATTCTAGCCAGGAGGGCAGAGGTTGGAGTTTCCCCATGAAGGCAAGAGGCTGAACATTCATGTAGAATGGTAGTGGTGCATCCCCGGATATTTATGGTACCTGCAGGATTTGGGGATCTGTTCATCTGAGTTGTTCTAAATGGACATGGGGAGAGAACTGTTCCCCTTCCTTTGCATCTGTATCTTGCAGTCTGGTCCTGGCTGCCCAGACAACCCTTACTGCACCCCCAGCTTCTTTGCTTTGGTCTGGACTCCTAGCCCAATGATTATTTGCCTTTGCATCTCGCCTCTTTCCAAATCTGTTGAGATTACGGGGACAGGGACATAGACTCATGGACTCAGAGAAGCTCATAGTTGAAGAAGGAGGGTGGATGAGGAATCTGTATGCTATACACATGACAAAGCTGTGCCGCAGAAAGAAAAGGCACCTTGTGAAAAGTCACACAGCAAGATGGTAGAGGAACTAATGCCAGCCCTCTGGACAGAGCACCCTCTACCCACTGGGTCGGAGGTCTTTTTACCTACTTACTAGGATCACTGAGTTTAGAGATCAGTACTCATGCCTCTGCTACTCATGGATAATAGGCCTGAAGGAGGGATGGACTTGCTCAAGGACTTTTAGCTACTACATGGAAGAGCTACAGTTGAATCTTAGATCTTCTAAGCTGAAACTAACCACATTTCACTCCGGGGCACGGTCTGACTGTGTGAGCAGAGACACGCATATGTGTGTGTTCATTTCCAAGACAACATACAACAGGGGTGGTGATAAGAGAGACAGACTTCGTGAAGGAAATATGTTTAATATTTATGGCTCCATGCATTGAATAATTTCTCCTCTTTTCTCATAAATCTTTTTTCTTGGATAGTGAACAAATGGCCAAATGAGGTTTATTTCTCATTTACTTTCAGGTCAGGTTGGCGTGGAGAACGGGAAGGAAGAGAAATTAGTAGTTGGTATCACCAGTTCCCCAAAAGTAGTGGATTACTTGGCTCTAGTGTGTTTGTAGTGAAGAAAAAAGTTTTTAATTCAGGGGAGAGAAACAGCAGGTTTTTGTTTAGAGCTGAAGACCTGTGCAGCCAGGACTGCTGGAGGAATTCTTATTCCCACCCATCTGGTGCTGCTCAAAAGGCAGAATGCTTTGTGAGTCTTTCCAGGCCAGGCTGGCCCTGGCTGGGGGTCAGACCCTGCCTGTTGGGGAAGGGTTGCTCATGCAATGGGGGCTTGCTGTGTGCTGGGTTCCTGAGCTAGCCTGTTGTGCAATCCCTTCATGAGCAAGTGGGAATCTTGGGTAAGGACTTCATCTTAAAGACAAGGAAACAGCCTCAGCTAGTTCATGTGAGTTACCTCCAGTCATATAGTTAGTGAGTGAGTCAGAATTTGGGCTGGGATTGCCTGAGTTCAAACCCCAGACTGTCTCACTGCACTGCTCGTCTAATGGATACACTAAGAAAATCATTGCAGCTTAATCCAGGTCACTGGCTACCCCTGGACGATGTCCTAAACCTACACTCCCAAATGAAGTAGGGCACGGTAGTGGTTGTCTCTCCCCATTTGTGGGTCAGCTCGCCCATGACACACACACCCTCAGGAAGCAGTTCCTCCATGCCAGGCTCGAGTGAGGCTGATCCTCTATGAGAACGGAACAGCAGCTACATACACAGTAGCTGTACAGCTTGCAGAGAGGCTCCACATGCATCGCGAGTCCATTCGATGCCTGCCTCAAGTTTGAAAGCAACCCACTGTTCACATGAAGAAACTGAGGCCAGGAGAGGCGAGATGACAATCTTCCACAGAATCACGGTGTGCAGCTCATTCACTTTGCAAATATATATATTGAGTGTACTCTACACTCAATTTGTGCGATGCACAAAGCCAAGTCCCTTGTCCTCGTGGAGCTCACATTCCAATCTGGGGTGGCAAATTATGACCCATGAATCAAATTTACCCGGATGCCTATTGTCATGTGGTTCATAACACATGAGAATGCTTTTTTAAAAAACAAATGGTGGAAAAAGTATGAGGATTTATAACATTTTGTGGCATGTGAAAAATTATGTGAAATCCAGCCGTCAGTCCATCTGGTTTCCCTAGAGCATGGCCATACTCGCTTGCTTAGGCCTCGTTTGTCTGCTTTCACCTACAACAGCAAGGCTGAGTTGCTGCAACAGAAAGCACGCATCTGCGAAGCCAGGAACGTTTACTGTCTGGCTGTATGCAGAAGAGTTTTGCTGACCCTTGTCCTAGCAGGTGATGAGGCCGCCATGACAGTGATGAAAAGATGATAACTAAGGCACATCCAGCACTTGCTTTGGGCAAGCACTTTGCTAAGGCCTTCTGTTAGTTGTCTCCCTTTGTCCTCACCACAGCCACATTCCCTTGGTGCTGTCATTGTCCCCATTGCTTAGAGGAGGGAAGGAGACTCAGAGAAGCAAAGCACCTTGCTTAAGGGCACACAGCTAATAAACAACCCAGGTAGTACTTTAATTCTAGCTCTGCTGGGTCACAGTTAAGCTGGGCTGTTAACCCCTACACAGAACCAGGAATCAAAACTTAATTTGGTGAAGCCAAGGTCTACATTCTTTTCCTCTAAATAACGTTGTTTCAAAAGTTGCGAGACATTCCAGAGAGAACCAAGAGGACCTTGGTCTCCCACCCATCACGTGTGCCCCTTCTCACACCTGTCACCATCCACAAGCAGGGCTGCTTGGCACTTGCCTCTGACCCCCGGGGGTGGCACAGTGGTCAGTATTTAGGATGGGAGTGGAGGAGCCCGCCCCAGGCAAGACTGCAGGAGCCACGGAATGACAGGCGTGTGGAGAAGAGTGGTTTCGTGGTGCTCTCGTCAGCTGCCCGCTCACCAGGAATATTGGGACCTAATTAGAGAATGTCAAAGTCCCAGCCTTTCTCCCTGATGTATGGGTCTGGCCTCCTCAGCGGGGTTCGCTTGATTAATTAACAGTAAGAAATGTGCCGGATTCAGTGAAATTCATCTTTCACTTCAGTTTTGAAGTGGTTCATTAAGTCCTACGCAGTCTGTAGAGGAGCCGTGAGCTCGGCCAGTCACCAGACACGCCTGTCACTCCTGAGTCTTGCTGTGTGATGCCTGAGCTCATCAAGTACTCAGGGCTACTGCGGCCCTCGGTTTAACCATAGCCCCATCCGTTCACTCAGGTGAAGTCACTTTATCCTCACCCCTTCTTTCCTGCTGCCTTCAGGTATCCACTTACTTTGAAGCTCATTTCCTTGCTCACTCAAGGAGCGCTTCACTGATTCACCCTAGAGACTCACTCTTTCGTATTTGTTGTGGGGCTGTCTCTCCAGCCTGTGAGCTTGGAAAAGCTGTTCTGGATTTGAAACCGATTCCTTTCATCTGGGTACATCACCCTGCAGTATGTTTCCTTAGCGTCTCTGAGGCATGGCTTCCTGGTCAATAAAATGGACATAGTGAGATCGACTGCACAGGAACCTTTGTGGTTTGCGGATGTATAGTAATTTGGTTTGAAGCACAGTGGAGATTGAATGATTGATATCATGATTGAGACAAGGAGAATGCTGATGCCTGGGGCTTCCAAATGAATGGGCTTGGGAAGGTTGTACTCTGGTGGAGAAGAGGCCTGGCCTGTGGGAGGAGGACCAGTGTGGTGGAAGAGGTGGTGACGTGCAGAGCGGGGAGCAGCTGGGTGGGGTTGGAGCGTGAGTCCTCACAATCCTTCTGTTTTACAGATGAGGAAACAGGGAATCATAGACTCTGTTCCCTCAGCTCACGGATGTGTAGAGTTTGGACTTAATCCCAACCTGGGCTGGTTCTAAAACCCTACTCTTTATTCCCTGCCGCCATGGAAGAAAGAACTGTCCCTTCCGAGGTGGGGATTCTGGGAATGGCTCCCTGGGATCAGGCTCAGGTTATTAGCAGGGGGCACACACAGGCACTTGCCAGGCAAGGCTGCAGGAGACAAGACGTCATGTCTGAAGGGTCTTTGAAGGCTCCACTTTTCCTTCCCAGAGTGGCCCTTTGGAGCTCTGGCTCATATCAACCATTGAGAAGTGGCTTCTCTGTGTCCTTAGCTGATTGTCACTCCCCGTTCCCTCATCTTGAGCTGAGCTCTGGGCAGGAGAAACAAGCAGACTCACTTCAGGTGTCAGACAGGAGGAGTCCAACGGTGTTGGCCCTTGAGGGCTGACTGGGGCCTGTGGAAGGCACAGGAGGGAGCCCCCTATTGCTGGGGTTGCTGGAGCTGGCACCAAGGAGGCAGTGTCAGGGTTGGCCCAGGACAGGCTGGGGAAAGTGGAAGAGAAGGACCCTCTGTTGGCCAGTCAGCCTGGGGGGCTCTGAGTCTCTAAGGAGCCCCATGCACAATGAACT